AACAGTTTTAGGGAGTAAAGGGTTAAGAACAATGAAATCACCTCAACTGAGAATTTCAAAAAAAAATCCACATTTTTTCGCTACTTTTGTTTTGATTTTCTCCGTTCAATTTAGGATTGATCAACGAGAATGTTTAAATATTATCCGATTTATTATTCAGTATATAGGCATAGAATAAGACGAAAATATATAGGATGATAGAGAATTTCAAGTTCTATCAGAATTCATAATTGCTTTTGTAGAAAATTATTTTCTTTGTACTTATAGTTTGAAAAAATATACTACACATAGAATTTTCGAATTTGTCAGTTGAGGTAACTTCATTGTTCTTAAATTATTCTAATAATAGATAAGTCCAAGACATTAAATAAATAATACATAGAAAGATAGAGCATTTCAAGAACTATCAGAATATATAATTGCCCCTCCAAAAAATAATTCTAGAGTGATGAAAAATTTAAAAAACTTATTTTAATCACAGTGACAAAATTAAGTCTGTGGGAATCTGGACATCCCTAGTCTCAATCTTGTATATTTCTTGAGAAATTCTGGAAGGATTCTTCAGGATCCTGAATCTCAAGGATCTTGTCTCGAATTCTAGTAATTCCTGTTTCCAGGATTTTTCAAGGTGGAACAGGATCCTGTTCGAGATTCTTCAAGATCTTATCAAGGATCCTCTCAAGACTATAAGAAGGAATTCTCCCAAGGTTTTATCACGTTTTCGTTAGGATCCGAGTCACATCTTTGTGTCAAGATCCTAACAGGAATGAGAGCCACATAAGACGAGGATCCTGGAAAGAAAATAACAAGACTTTTGAGCGAAACTCTTCGAGAACAAGAATTTCGAATGGTTAAAAAATATAAGTATGATCAAGATCTTGATCAGTAAATACAAGGATTCAATTAGGATCTTTTCAGATTTATGTCCAGAGACTGTTCAAAATTTGATCTTTCAGGATCCTGCCAGGAACCCAGTAAGAATAAATGGAATGATTTCCAGACGTTTTAGCAAAGTTCAGATCAGGATCCTTTCATGACTTTGAAATCTATAGATCACAATAGAATTTTAATAGAAATGTTGAGCGAAATCTCAGCAAAAATAAATATAAGAGTTTTCAAGATGTTATTGTGTATTTATTCAGACCACGACAAAAATCTCAGAATTGAAAAGTTACTGTCATTTTTATCCTGATTTTAATTTAGTTCTTTCATAAACAAATAGAACGATGAATCTTAATACATCTTAGAAGAAAAATTTTCAGATCTCTTTGAAATTTACATAAAAGTCATTTTAAGATTTCAACTATAGCGATGAATTCTTTTTTAATCTTATCAGGAAAACAAAAATTGGAAATCAATAAGTTAGAGTGTTAATTTGAATTTAGTCAATTCATCATCAAATTTTTTCGTTAAATTTGTAATTTTAATCAGCAGCAAATCTTTCAATAAAAACTGCTTATAGCTTTGATTATGTTCAAAAAACATCCAAATATATTTTTAAATCAAATTGAAAATTAAAAAATTTAAATATTTTGTTTAAATTGAATTCAAATGAAAAAAATTCTAAACGTATTTTTAAAATCTTATTAAAATTAAAAAAAAATGGTCTAAGTATATTTTTAAATGGAAATTAAAATTAAAAAAGATACCAAATATATTTATTTAAATCGAATTGAAATTAAAAAAAAAATAATAAAATTTCACCGACAAAAAAATATCTAAAATGATATTGCACCTTCAGAATATTATAAAATAATTTGTATCTACATAAAATTCAAATAGAAAGTTACATTAAAGTCCGAAATTAAGAAACTGAATGTTGAAGTAACATATGACATGATACATCCAGCTCAGTAAACTAATCGGTATGTATACTGCAGGTGTAGAGATCAATACTCTATGTGTTCATCTCTTTTATATTCTATTTAGAAAATCCTGCAAAGATCCTATCAAGAAATTGACAATATCCTCAACGAAACGTAACTGAATCCTACAGAGATTCTTTCAAAAAACTTGATATCATCATCGAGGAAACCTAATAAAATCCTTAAAGATGTGATGAGAAATCTTTTTTTTTTCAAATTTTGAATCATTGAAATTCTCAAAAGATCCTAGAATTCCGTGACCACACATTTTGTTCAGGATTTAGTCGTTTCCTCAGAATAAAATAGCGCATCCTGGGAGGAACCTGATCATATCTGTCAAGGATCTGGTGCTGAAACATCAAAGATTTTCCCTAGGGATGAGGGTGGCTTCATTGTACTCAATTTATTTTGGTAATTCATAAATGAAAACTAAAATATAAATATATAAAATGATACAAAGTTCCACGTGCTTTCAGAATATGATGCTATTCTTTTACAAATACGTTTTTATAGTGACGATATACTCAAAATACCTATTCCAGCTTCACTAGGAAAAATTTTTGATGTTTCAGCGCCAGATCCTTGACTGATATGATCAGGATCCTGCAAGGATTCGCTGTTTTTTCCTGAGGAAACGACTAAATCCTAAAAGAAGTGCATAGCCACGGAATTTTAGGATCCTAACAAGTTTACCATTGTCTTTCAAATCGGGATTAAGCCAGGAAATCGATGATTCCTGAAAGAAGTATGTAGTCATGGTTCTTAAGTATCCTGTCAGGATTTTTATAATTCAGAAATCATTTCAACGTTCAATATGTTAATTTCTTACATTAATATAAACTTCTATTGGAATCCTATGTGAATATAAATTATTTCAAAAAATTTTGAAAATGTAATACTATTTCAGATATTTGTTTTAATCGGTGGAATTTTACTATTTTTTGATTGTTTCAATTCAATTTAAAAAATATATTTGGAATTTTTTTCGAACATAATTAAAACTATAGGCAGTTTTTATCGAAAGATTTACTGCTAAATAAAACTATCTGTTTAACGAAAAAAATTTTATGATGACTAAATTCAAATTAACACCATAATTTAATGATTTTTCAATTTTCTTTTCCTGATAAGATTAAAAAAGAACTCTTTGCTGTAGTCCCAACCTCAAAACAGCTTTTATATAAACTTCAAAGATTTTTAAGATTCATTCTATTTCTTTATGAAAAGAACCAAATCAAGATCAAAGTAAAAGTGTCAATAGATAATTTACTTCATAGAATATTGTCGTGTTCCGAACAAAAACACAGTAACATCTTGAAAAATTCTTCTATTTATTTTTGTTGAGACTTTGCTAAATATTGGTATTGAAATTCTGTTGTAATGTATAGATCTACAAATTTTGAAAGCATCCTGATCTGGTGAACCTAACTGAAAACGTGAGAGAATCGTTTGAGTCATTCTTGCTAGGTTCCTGATAGGACTCTGAAAATTAAATTTTGAATATTACTCTCTAAATATAAATCTGGAAAGATATTAACTGGTTCCTTGTGTTTTCTTATCAACATCCTGATCATATTTGTATTTTTTAAAAGCATTCGAAATATCTGTTCTTAAACAGTTTCACTCAGGATCCTGATCAAAGTTTAACAGGGTTTATTAGTTGAGAATTCTAACAGAGTATCTCCATATCAGGATCCTGCATAGAATTGACAGTGAAGCTTAGCAGGATTCTCCAAACTCAATTCAGAAAAAAATCTGAGCAAGAGCTTGAACAAATCTTGGATCGAATCCTGAATTCAACCTGATAGGATCCTTGAAATTTATGATTTTGAAACATCCTTCAAGACTGTCTCAGGAAATCGACATGGCTGAGCAGACTAAGCAGAAATTTGTAAAGATCTTTGATAAATCTTTACATTTTCTTATCAAGATCTTGATTAGGATTAACATTACCTTGCAAGGTTTGGAAGCGCATATTCTTGAAAAGTTCTGAACAAGATTCTGATTGAAGCTTTACAGGATTAGTCAGTTTCATATTCTGATTGATTTGATCATTTTCTTGCCAAGATCCTCGTCTGATATGGCTATCATTCTTGCTGGAAACCTGATACGAAGATTTGACCTACATCCTGACGAGAACCTGATAAAATCTTGGCGAACTCATGTCCGATAATCTTGAGTAAGTCCTAATAGGATCCTGTATTCTTAACTCAGAAAACTATCTGACCAGGAACTTGAAAAAATCCTGAACAAGACCTTGCTTCACCTTGCAAAATCCTGGAAACAGGATCCTTCCAGGATTTCTCAAGGAATGAAAAGGATTGAGGTTAAGGCTTTAATTTCCAGGGGTATATATAGGACGTACACCGTCCATTAATTAATAGTATGCTATGTCTGTGGACTGATGACGGATGGTGGATTTTTGAGACTGAAATCTCATTGTTAAGAGAAATGATCTTTAAAGATCTTTAGGAATCTGTTTTTTTTATGCGTGTTAAATCTGTACCTGTGACTTACCTGTTAGAGATATGCTGCACAGCTGTGACGATGACTGGAAGCACGTAGAAAATTGTGAGAACGTCTGATATTTGATCGCGTTCGTCGAATTTTGGTTGAGAATATCTTCACTTACAATCGATTATTAATTCGAAAAAAATTGATTAAAATCAGATTTTGTCGTTTTTTTTACATGAGTTGCTATCTGATTGTTTCATCTGAGTTGAAACAACAAGATCTGAGGCGCATCCAGTTTCCGGATCCGATCTGGGGAGCTAGATTGCAAATGCCCGCCTTCTGGCTACGTAATCACAACGCAAACTCTTGGATACAGCGTTTATATCTTGTCGCTTCGATAAAAGCATTAGAACCGTTGCCGCGAAACGTATTCGAAGATAGCTACCGAAGGCAGGAACTGAGCTAGAATCGGCAGCCGAATCCGATTTAGGAATTCTACTTCCAGAACGCGCAGGCAAATCACTGGATTCTGTCGTACATCTTTGACCTGGGTATTTCTGAACTAGAAAATCAAATCATCATCTAGCCAATTGTAAAAGTTTTCGAAATCTAAAAATACTAATTGTTTTTATAATTGAGAACAGTTCAGTACTGTTTAAAACAAATGAGTGACTCATTTCAATGAAATCTATACTTATTCCTACTTCACACTTTTGTTTCATTCCAGCACCACTACGTGCAAGTTTGACTGATATCCGTCCAAATACAAAATGGATGCAGAATGGTGTCACTGTCGCTGGAGGAAATGGACAAGGCAGTGGAATCAATCAACTCTGTAACCCACACGGTTTATATGTCGTTGAGGGTCAAACTATTTATATTGCTGATCGCGATAACCACCGTATTGTGGAATGGAAATGTGGTGCAACAACTGGTCAAGTGGTTGCCGGTGAAAATGGAAGTGGAAATGGAGCTTATCAGTTAAACTACCCATACGATGTGATTATTGACAAAGAGAGAGATAGTCTCATTATCTCCGATTTCGGTAATAAAAGAGTTGTTCGATGGTCTCGTCGAAATGGTACTAGTGGAGAAACTATCATTTCAAATATCTCTTGCGTCGGTTTGACAATCGATGAGAGTGGATCTCTCTATGTCGTTGACTACGGAAAACATGAAGTGAGACGATATCGAATTGGTGACACTGAACGAATGGTGGTTGCAGGTGGCAATGGACAAGGAAATCGTCCAGATCAACTCTCTTACCCCTATTACGTATTTGTTGATCGAGATCATTCAGTGTACATGTCTGAGTATGGAAATCATCGTGTAATGAAATGGGAAGAAGGTGCAAAACAAGGCATTGTCGTAGCCGGTGGTCAAGGGCAAGGAAATAGTCTTACACAATTGAACAGACCTCTGGGAGTCATTGTCGATCAATTGGGTACTGTCTATGTTGCTGATCAAGGCAACCATCGAATCATGCGTTGGTCAAAAGGAGCCACACAAGGAAGTGTCATTGTTGGTGGAAACGGCGCTGGAGCACAGTCGAATCAACTCAATCGTCCCACAGGTTTATCATTCGATCGACATGGCAATCTCTATGTCGCCGATTACGACAATCATCGAGTACAAAAATTTAATATCGAATAAACTCAGTACGATGATTAATTTTTTTTGATTCTATTTCTCTGCCAAATAAATCCAGATTAAATAAAAAAGAATTCATAGCTATTCTATTTGCACGCGCGCGCGACCAGGAACCATCCTGGTGGAGCCGTGGCGAGCGTAAAGCTCATGCACGCACGGGACAGACTCTCATCATTCACATCAGAGATGTGTCAAAGAGTCTGGTGCAGGCCCGGTCGTGTGCCACGGACACCAAGACAGTTCCTGACCAAGCTTTTAAGGACTACTCGGAAGTCCTTCAGATAACGCGAAGCCTCATCTCCATGGACATAACTCACGCCCTCCCCAACTAACGCTCACTTTGTTTAGAGTTACCCTATTCTCATCTCAAAAGAAAAAAAATAATCACTTACTTTCTCTCTATGTTGGGCGATGATGATAGTGTTGTTGATGATGAAGACGACACAAATATATTGATGGCTAAAAGAAAAGGAAAAAAATTCGATGAGCATCATAGAATTAAAAAGAATGAGATAACTTACCCCACTGTTATCTGTTTCACTGACCTCGAAAATATTTTTGATCTAAAACGAAACAAAATAAAAGAAAAGAAAGAAGAAGCTACTTACAGTCTCTGACTTGTTCATGTCCACCTGAAAGAAATGAAACAAAAAAAATTAATTAGAAAAAGTTTTTACTTACTTAGAATATGCAATACCTAAAATAAAAGAAAACCATACATAAAATAGATCAAAGGAGGATTTATCACCCTCCATCCCAGGTCGAACATTACTGTGCCCGTAAACGACCGTACACAGCCGTTTACGATGACGTGAACGGCCGTATCCGCCGAATTTACGACCGTATACGGGCCGTAAATAACCCGTTTGGTATGCGCCGTATTACGGTCGTGTGAGACCGTGCCGTATACGGCGAAAAACAACAATCGTTTACACCAAAATCTGTGCCGTGACACGGCCGTATTCTGACGAAGACGACAGTTTACAACGACGTGAATGATCGTAAATCAATGTAACCGACCGTTTTCAGTCCCACATTTGGAAAGGATTTCACCAGGATTCCATTTGGATTTCACATGGATTTCATTTGGATTTCACATGGATTTCATTTGGATTCCATATGGATTTCACATGGATTTCACCAGGATTTCATTTGGAGTTCACATGTATTTCATTTGGATTCCATATGGATTTCACATGGATTTCACCAGGATTTCATTTGGAGTTCACATGGATTTCATTTGGATTTCACATGGATTTCATTTGGATTCCATATGGATTTCACATGGATTTCACCAGGATTTCATTTGGAGTTCACATGGATTCCATGAGGATTTCATTTGGATTTCACATGGATTTCATTTGGATTTCACATGGATTCCATCAGGATTTCATTTGGATTTCACATGGATTTCATTTGGATTTCACATGGATTTCATCAGGATTTCATTTGAATTTCATTTCGATTCCACCATGATTCCACCGGGATTTCACATGGATATCGTTTACATTTCACCACGATTTCTTTAGTCTCTCAGTTGGATGTGATTTTGATATCAGTTGGATTCCATCGAAACATTATCACCACTAGGGGTGGCACTTTAAACTCTAAACTTTAATTAAAGTTTAAAGTAAAATACTTTAAAACTTTAAACTTTAATTAAAGTAAAAATTTTAGCACTTTAACTTTAACTTTTTCATTAAAGTTAAAGTGTTTGTGTCATGCCATACTGTAGGGGTACCCTTAGGTCCTCCAGTCCTATTTTTGAAAAAACTTTTTTTTTCTACAGAAATAGACTTTTTGAGCTAAAATAAATTTTTTTGGGAGCACCCAAAATTTTGTGAAAAAAAAATTCTTTTTTGCTGCAAAAAACGACTTTTTGAGAAAAAATAAATTTTTTTGGGAACACCCAAAATTTTTATGAAAAAAAATTTTTTATGCAGAAACTGGCTTTTTAAGAAAAAAATTTTTTTCAAACAAAATTTTGAGTGCCCCCAAAAAAATTTATTTTTGCTCAAAAAGTCTGTTTCTGTAGAAAAAACAATTTTTTTTCACAAAATTTTGGGTGTTCCCGAAAAAATTTATTTTTTCTCAAAAAGTCTATTTCTGTAGAAAAAGAAAATTTTCGAAAAAAAATTTTTTTCAAAAATAGGGCTTGAGAACCTAAGGGTACCCCTACAGCATGGCATGACACAAACACTTTAACTTTAATGAAAAAGTTAAAGTTAA